GTGGTATTGGCTGTGTCTGATGAGGAGCGAGCTGGCTCGCTGTCCCGTCTCTTGGTGGTGGCTCGGTGGTGGTGACTCGGTTGATGGAGACGATCGCTCGCGGCGTGGGCTGTCCAACCACCATTCCCAGTCGGCTATGGTGTCGGGTACAAGGATCGGTGGAGGTGCTCGAGCTCGTGGCGCGAGCTGGCATGCATGCAGGGGCGATGGCGGCCGTGTCGAGCCGCCCCGTTTTCGAATTTCGAGTACGGGCCGTGCGCTTTCGCGCGCGGCGGCGGGCTGGCTGGAGTCGGGTGCTGGACGCGAGCGCGAATTAGCGCTGCGTAGCGCTATCGGACGGCGCGAGCGCAAAAAAAAAAAAAAAAAAGTCTGCGTTGCAACATTGATTGGGCTAGTCATTGGTATTCTAGCATTCTGCTGTGTTGTCTTGCACTATGTGATAGAGGTCAGTCCCGGTCAGGTCAGGACTTGTATCTAACTCGTCCCCTGCGCTATAAAGCACCATGTTTTTATGTATCAGGATGTACACTGCTTGTTGAGATTTCACTTGCAGTGCATTGTCCATTCAGTCCTTTTTATCACATTGCGGATCCTCGGTTATATATGTACATCGCCCAACTGGGCATGTAACAGTTGTGTGCGTGGGATATCCAGGGTGATCCAGAGACAAGTGTGTGCGAAACATGTGTGGACACAGAGTCGGACAAAGAATGTGTGGGCGCCCAGGCGCCATAGCCAGTTAGAAGCGAGTTTGTAACTAAACTGAGTTCTCGACTTCAGTATCTCTGAGCTTTGTGTGGGCGCACAGCGCCAGCGTGATTTGCCACCTGTATGCATGTATATGGAGTGAAGAAGAAAGTGAGTCTGATTGCAGAGCGTACATAATGTAAGTTTATGACTTGCCTGGAGGAAAGCAACCCAACTGACGCTCCCCAGAATGGACACGGAGCCAGGGGCATAACACCTGTGTGGTAAACAAAACTAAACAGAAATCATTTGAAAAAAATCATCAGTAGGTTTTACTCAAGAATTTCCCGGACTTCCTATTCGTCATTCCTCTAGTCTTTGACACGTGTACCTTCCCTTCTCCCTTCCCTATCAACAAGGGTGCCAACTTCAGAAGCAATCGTCCAATATTGGCCCACATTTTCCAAACTTGCTATTCTTCACCCTTCCAGTCTTCGCCATATGTACCTTTCTCCCCCTCCCCACCGTCCCCGTTTTAGAGGCATATAACTGCAGAAACAATCATCTTTTTAGTAGTTTTTACTGCTTTCACTTTATGCCACTTGGGTAGCCCCAAAGCAGCAAACAGAAATGATAGTGGGCAGACTCACTTACCCCAGGCCTCGGTGCTCTAGCAGTAATGAGAGTCCACTTAATCCAGCAATCCGAACTGCCATAGCAGCCAATATCCTTCAGGTGAACAGAGCACACAGGCTCAGCAGGACCAGACTCGGACTTCAAATGGGGAAAACAGCACGGAAGACAATTGATGTGTTGTTTTGCGGATGTATTCAGTACGGTTAACCGGTTATGCTAATGGACTAAGTTATTAAAAAGAAAAAAAAAACTTAAAAAGAGAAAAAAAAAGAAAATTATCCAGGATAAAGCCGTACCCTGATAAGTTCATCTGACCCACTGACAGCGTCTGCATGGTCTCCAAACTTGACGTCAGCAGCCCCGTCGTCTTATAATATTAATTGAATTTAATTCTAGAAATTCGCCAGATTTTGACTTTTCAAAATAGCTCTTAAAGTTCTGGGGAAAAAAACGATATTTTGTGCGAGCATGGAAATGTAAAACAACTCCTCCCCCTTCTCCCCCCAACCCCAACCCCAACCCCCCCCACACACACACACACACCCCAAAAAAAAAAAAAAAAAACAACCTTTTGGCTGAGTGTCATTTCGAAACTCGCAACTAACTTTGAGGACGAAAAAAAACATTGACCTGAAGCTAAAACAAGAGACGTTTTTTAGGGCACATCCTGGTGCAGACCAGATCCAGACATCCGGACCCAAGAGATTGGAGGAGACGGCTGCGACACAATCAGACTATTAGTGGGCGAAGACTTAGAGCAGCTAGGACATATTTCCATGTCTTTGACAACCACACTGTGCAAACCTAGAAGTTCCCCAATGAGAGAACATTCCAGACTGTCCGCTGTTCCACACTTCGGTTAGTCTCGCGCCACGGCTGGAAATAAATTAAAATTATAAATTATGCCTAGCAGTCTGATGTTCCACCATCAAGGTCTGTGGTAACCGCGGCACTTTTATTAAATTAGTAGTAAATTAGTAGTAATTCGTTACCGCGCTTGTTCATCTGTGCTATTGCCTGCTTGGGTCTTTGGTGGATGTGAAAGCGAGTTGGAGTTTGGTCGGTGGGTCACTTCTCGGATTTATAATATCATTATCTTCAATGCTGGTCCCGGACTTGGTTATCTGGCGCAAGCCGGAAGAAAAAGGAGGAAAAAAAAAAAAGAAAAAAAAAGAAAAAACAGGTCTTCACGCCAAACTTCTGAAGTAGTAGCATAGGAAAAGAGTCTGAAGTTTGAACTTCAAAGCACAAAGTCACGGAATCGCAGAAAATGGCTCAAAGATTTTTCCAGTGATTTGAGATTGAAATGTGAGCCAGCTCAGCCAGGAAAAAGAAAGGAAAATGCGAGCCAAGTTTCTTGAATCCGATCTGCACTTTCTTTTTTTGTTTCTAATTCCCATTGAAACCTGTTCCTTGCTTGCTTCCCAGTCTTTCCTGTTGGGGTTCTTATTGGGCGTGCAAGAGGAAAAGGATGCATTCAGTCGGTCAAAGCTTGGTGAGTCCGAATTTCCATAATTCCTCTGCAGACATTTTGCTGGTGCCTTCAGAGATGGATGCAATATGATTGGATGGGCGGAGGGGAGGGGAGGGGAGGGGAGGGG